TTTATGTGAATTACTTGAGTTGATGATTATGCTTTTATGGGTTGCTTATGTCAATATTGTGAGTTTTGATGGCTTGATATGAGTTTATTGGTTTATCTTGGGTATTTGATGATTTATTGATATGCGTACTCATTAAAGTTTATAAAGCTTTGTTTTATGCCTAAATATTTGTTGTTGGGTTAGGTTTAGTAAATTGATGGGCTTGGACCGAAATTATTTGGAGTGAATAATTATTGATGTGGATATGGGAGGAATAAATTCGAAATGATAGATGATGGATGATGGATGATGGGTTCCTTAAAGGGTACTATTCGGCTTAATTGCTTAAATTGAGGATTTTGATGCTTTCATGTGATTGATGTTCTATAGCTTAATTATGGCTTAATTAAGTATGAATTAGTGTTTATGAATGAAAAAATTTACTTTAATTGAAGAAAAATCCACACAAATCCTTAGGGTATATTCGGCCTAAACTTTGATTTTTAGGCTTTGAGTTTCATTCATCCAAATCTCAAATTATTGGTTCAATTGTACTTGAACAAGTATGATTTAAAGTGTAGGAAGGTAAAATTTCAAAAAAATTGAAGAAAATGGCTTGAATTTGTTAAAATTTAAATTTGGCCATTAAGGTCAAATTCGGGTTAAAGTAAGAAATTACATCTTAAATGTTTATTCAATTGGTCTCTATAATTAATGTGTATGTAAGCTAAGTGATATCAAAATTATAGGATGAAATCAATGATATTACTTATTAATTATATGAAGAGAAGATACTTATTGTAAGGTTTATGAGACATATAGGTGTTTCTATATGTGGATTGAATTTCAAGAATGGTTTGAGAATGTAGGGTTTGGTACCCATAACTTGAAGGATATGGTAAATGAAACATCATTGTGCATCACATGCATTTGTGGGTAGATTGAAAAGTCGGATGGTTGAAAATCGATAAGGTTTGGTAATCGAAACTAGATTAAATGGGTATTAACAATGAAGCTATGTGCGTGCTCTATTACTTAATTACACCATTAAGCAATGGATAATTCTTCTAACCGTGTGCTACAACGATGGATATTTTTGTTGTTAGTAGTAGGTGATAAGGCAATCACCGAGAGATGAAAATGAAGTGGACTTGTTAATACCTAGGGTACCCGAACTAAAATTAATGGATGAATTCAGGATAGTAAGAAATCATTACATATCACGTGCATCGACCTATTTACTAAGCTTTGGCTCATATTGTTGTTATTCCGTGGTGTAACGTGTAGAGACAAAGATAGTTCTATCGAGGAAGCTACCGGTTCTCACTAAAAGGGCTCGTGTGTTACCCAAAATTATAGGAATCTTTTGAAGGGTTGTAGATAAATGTTACTCGTTCTCCTATTTGTGGGTAGTCAGCATTGTAGATATTTTGTAATCCCTTTGGATGTAATTATTAATACCATATAAATTTTACTATACGTATTCCACTCGTTTACTATTTTATTTAATTTTGGTTATATATTATAGTGAACTAGTCGGGATTTTAGGCTTAATAATGTAACGAACCTAGTCACTCCTATTTGAAAATAGTGAGTGAGTTAGGGGCGTTGAAATATCTACGATGTCGACTATCCACAAATAGGAGAACAATATAACATATCTACAACCCTTCAAAAGATTCCTATAATTTTGGATAGCACATAAGCCCATTTAGTGAGAATCGACAACTTCCTTAATAGAACCGCCTTTGTCTCTACTCGTTACACCAAGGAAATAACAATGACAATATGAACCAAAGCTTAGTAAGTACGGTGATGCATGTGATATGCAATGATTTCTTGCTACCTTGAATTCATCTATTAATTTTAATTCGAGTATCCTAGGTATTAATAAGTCCACTCCATTTCCATCTTTCGAGTGATTGACTTATTATCTATTTCTATCAACGGAATTATCCATCGTTGTAGCACACGACTAGCGAAATTTTTCATCGCCTAACGGTGTAATTAAGTAATAGAGCACGCACATAACTTCATTGCTAATACTCATTTAATCCATTTTCGATTACTAAACCTTATCGATTATCAACCATCCGACTTTTCTATCTACCCAAAAATACATGTGATGCACAATGATGTTTTATTTACCATATCCGTCAAGTTATGGGTACCAAATCCTACATTCTTAAACCATTCTTGAAATTCAACCCACATATAGAAACACATATATGCCTCATATATCCGACATAAATATTTATTTAAGAAAATCAATTACTACCGAATATAGTTAATCAACCAATATAATTCACTCCTTTAATAAGTATCTTCCCTCCATATAATTAATTTCATCCTATAATTTTGATACCACTTAGCTTACATACACATCAATCATAGGGACCAATTGACTAAACATTTAAGGTGTAATTTCTTGCTCTAACTCGAGTTTGGCCTTAATGGCCGAATTTAGATATTAACTAATTCAAGCCATTTTCTTCAATTTTCTTGACAGTTTACCTTCCTACACTTCAAATTAGAGTTGCTCAATTACAATTGAACCAACAATTCGAGATTTGGATAAGTGAAACTCAAAGCCTAAAAATCAAAGTTTAGGTCGAATATACCCTAAGGATTTGCGTGGATTTTTCTTCAATTAAAATAAAGTTTTTTTTCATTCCTAAACACTAATTCATACTTAATTAAGCCATAATTAAGCTATAGAACATCAATCACATGAAAGCATCAAAATCCCGAATTCAAGCGATTAGGCCGAATAGTACCCTTTAAGGAACTCTAGGAACCCATCATCCATCATCTACCATTTCGAATTTATTCCTCCCATATCCACATCAATAATTATTTACTACAAATAATTTCGGTCCAAGCCCATCAATTTACTAACCTAACTCAACAACAAATATTTAAGCATAAAACAAAGCTTTATAAACTTTAATGAGTAAGCATATCAATAAATCATCAAATACCCAAGATAAACTAGTAAACTCATATCAAGCCATCAAAACTCACAATATCAATATAAGCAACCCATAAGAGCATGATTATCAACTCAAGAAATTCACATAAATCAAACACTTAGAAATTCGAATTTATGGTTTAAAATAGATCCCTACTTACTTGATTCAAATTTCCTAGAAAATCTCTTAGTCTTTTTCTTCTCCTTTCCTTATTTCTTTCTTTCTCTTTTCTTCTTTCGTTTTCCTCTTCTTGTTCGGCTTTCTTTTTCTTTTAGTGAACTAAAATCTTCTAAAAGTGGCTAACCATTCCTTAGCTTTCTCTTATATATATATATATATATATATATATATATATATATATATATATATATATATATATATATATATATATTCATCTTTTCTTCCCTTATTAATGAACTTAACAAGTGTCCTAATCTAAGCTTGTGAAGTGTAAAGTGGTAGAAGGAATTAGAAGCTTAGGTGACGAATTTTAATTAAAAGTCATGAGTTGTAAAGTAGTAGAAGAGTTTAGAAGCTTAGGTGGTAAGTTTTACTCAAAGGATAGGTGATGTGAGTAAAAATTAATCCTAGGGTATTTTGGTCTAAGAATTTCGGCACCCTCATAATGTTTAGATGATTTTTTTTTTTTTTGCATGGCACCTTCTAGATACGCGCTAGGGAAAAATAAATTGACAACTAAGTAAGTTATCCAAAAATTTATTCTCATAAATAATCACGTAAACACCAAATATATTAAAACCGTAAAGATATTAATATCTTATATGAATTACACCCACATTTAGTATATATATGATTGAGAATTTTCACGAGAATTATACCTTAGCGGAATGTTCCGTATCCGGAATGACCTATCCAAAGGGATCCAATATGGTAATTTCAATAATAGGGAAAACTAATAATGAAGCAATAGAAAAAAAAACATCCTATTCTAATTTTATTGCTAACATCTTCCCTAATGGCACTTCCTTTTTTACAATGGAGCATAGGTATTGAAAATTATCATCATGAGCACCTCTCCACAATAGAATCCAACAACATGCCCTTCTTGATTTCTCAAGTTGCCAACACATTAATATGATATCCTAATAAAAACTACCAAGAGAACATTGCCCTTGAATACAAAACAGGCTCAGATGCTTAGACTCTCTAGGATATAATAATTTCAATGTTTCCTCTGAAATAAAATAGCAGCAACATATTTGATTCCAGATCCCATTTACGTCTATTCTTTTACTTGTTGAGTCAATTTTTAACAACTAGCTTTCACAGTAGACAAAAACTTTTACAAGATGTTTGATGTATTAATACTTGACAACTACAAGAATTAAAATAGGTTTTGGCGCAATGGATCGGTTCTCTGGTTTTGAAGATCCAAAATAACATAGCAACAATTTACAAGAAGGGGTAACACAATAAACGGGAAAACAAGTTCTAGACAAACGCAGCCTCAGTGGTAAAATGTTGTCACAAAGACCTCTAGTTGAAGAAAGGTCGCCATGTTCTCTAAAAACAAATCATTGTAATGTATGATTATCGCTAAGGTTTATGGTAAACACAGTTGCACAGATTGAATACAAGGGGCAGAATCTGTCGGAGAGAAAAGGTGAAAAGAAGTACAGTTACTGCAAAATATTGCAGAAGCACAAAGGTGTTGAGAGCCTTTACAGCACAAGAAAAATCGAGTCTGCTTTGACACTACTATTATAACATTCGGCAACTCCAAGGCCAATTATTGATAAAGCATTCCATTGGACCCATCCCCAGTGGACTAGATGACAAATTTACCTTCGGGTATTCATTCCTCTTTGCGGCAAGCTTTGAATAAAGTGGACTATTCAGGCAGTAACTCCTACAGATTCCCCATTTAGCGTCTGCATTTTCAGGATATTTTCTTCCTCCCACAAGCGCTCTTTATTTTTGAATTTCTGACTCGAAGTAATGCACTTTCACTTGCTAAAATCATGCAAGAGTGCAGTGGCGATAAATAAAGGAATATTACATGGCAAATAATCAACATAAGCTTGATTTCTATGGGCGATCAGCAGAGCTTGACTGGTTCAAATCACTGACGTTTGCATATAAGAAACTTATCTGATCATTAAGCAATGATCTTATTGGTTGTGGAGAAAATCCAGTGTAATTCCGGTCTACCTTTGCCAAGCATAAATCAGTGATATAGGTGAAAAGGTCATGGTTCTTGACTACAGGTTGAGCTGCATATTCCTCAAATGGCATCCACTGGGGAAAAAAATGACAACCACATGAGACACTTTAGTCAGCGGTTGCATCCTTTAAACCTAAGCCCTCCTTCTTCAAGGAAAAAACGTGATGAATAACTAAAACACAACAGAATCAGGGAACAAGCAACAGTTAACCAGATGTTGCATGAATACAGAGTGGCAGTAGGTAGAGCCCCAATTCTGAATTTCTTAGTAGGAAGAGAAATGGCAATTCTGTCATATGACCCTTAACTAAACTGAAGGGCAAGCAGGCAAAACCATTTGACTCAATTTGTTACTGCTCAAGCTGCTCAAGGATCTTCTTGTGTAACAGAAAAGGCAGGACTTAAAACCCAAAGATAAGGAACAAATAGCAGATCTTAGCACCGAAATATGCCATGTAGTCATTGTATTGAGCACAAGGAGTACTGGTTTCTCTTTCTCTCAAATTATTATCTTGAATATAACAGATTGACGCAGAGATAAAGCAATGCAGATAGATTGCGTGAGTTTGTCATGTTTTATTTTAAAGACTAATTCACAGAAAGCAATAAGCTAGAAACGAGAATGTTGAAAGTTAAACAGTTGTCATGTAACAGGTGTTGCCACATTACTTTGCCTGAGATTACCTGGGCTGCTTCAATCTCTAATTCTTGCTTCTCGATGTCAAACGATACTGGACGCAACATGCAGAGGAAGAATAAATCTGACTTCTCAAAGAATGATTTGTGCCATTGCCTGCTAGTCATGACCAAAACATGGGAGGAAAATGTCAAGGCACCAAACTGACAACAAATCGGTATTTAAAACATCAGGAGCCTGAAAAATTACAAGAAGAAAATTGAAACCTTTATGCTCACTTAAGTTCGAATAAAAATATACAGACAGAGATGGCCATCAAATCACGTATAAAGCATAGCGATGCCAAATTATCTACATCATTCAACGCAAAGTCAGGAAATCTGAGTTTTTGGACCGGATGTATTTTAAAGAAGTGTGGCAAAGGGATTCATGATATTTAATTTGGACAAATGCAAGTGATCTCTTCACAAGACAACAAAAATTTGGACAACCTGATTTTCCCAGGAATGAATGGCTTTATTTTAACAGTGAACGGGTATAACCATTATAAGGGGAATCTACAAGGAGACACTCTACATGCTCCATTCTCTGCCTAAACAAAATCACCCTGAATCGATATCTTGGTTTATCCATTAAAAACCATCTTCAAGAATAAGTCTAAAAGTCAAAGTACAAACATTAGAACAAAGAAAATTGGTGGTCAAACTTCAAGTCAATTTCAATGACTCATACAATGCAGCTTATTTGTCCAGAAGCAAATAATTAAATATAATCAGTAGTTTGAATCACAGGGAAAAAACCACCAGCAGCAACAAAAACTTCACACCTGAATGCTAGAATCTCCAGAAATTCTGTGTCAATCTGAGCAATGAAAATATGTGCTTTTAGAAACATGTGATTTAAAATTAAAACGGAGGAAGACGGATATTGGTATACAGTTATTACTTACTCTTGTCTCTTCTTTTACTTCTCTTATAGCTGCCATAAAGATCTCCTCACTCTGTGTGTTGAAGATCTCATTTAAAATGATTAAGGTGATGCATTTATTGTTGAACAATTAAAATTCCTTACTCTAGGCAGGTACCTCGTCAACAACTCCAGTAGGGATTTTCCACACGCCTGTTCCTTGAAATTTACCACTCTTTTCCTGGACCACAAGTACCTATAAACCAAAGAGGATTTTGGCAATTCAGAACAACAACAAAGATGTATACCTCGACTTTTAGAAAGGAAGAATGATACCACAAATTGACAAAACAAGAAATTGAAATTAAAAACAACATAAACAGAAGATGAAAGTAGAATTAGGGCAAGCAGAATAAGCAAGAGAGCTTATTGCAGAAGTAGTAAATACCTCTCGTTTATCATTCAAGACGATAGCACCAACACCTACTCTATGCGAGGCATTAGCAGGGATAGTGCTTGGGGTGTCAGGAATCCAATAAACAAGCATGAGGTAATTTGGCTCAGCATGGTGGTACTGGAATCCTTTCTGTCATCACGACACCAGAGGTACAAAGAGAGGTCATCATTTTTCATCTTTTATGCACATAAATTCTATTTCTGTATGCAACAAATCTTTTAACTTCTATAAAGAAAACAGGTAAGAGTAACATTTCATGAATATACAGTTGGTAATTTACACCTTAGTTAAAAAAAAAAAAAAGGGGTTTTATGTTCAGAATTGGTTATTAAAAAGTTGGAACTTGGATTATGCCAAAAGACTGATTGAGCACCAGTTTATGAGAATCACAACCTAATTATCTTTATCATTTCACGGGCTCATGTTTGCACTCATCTTGTACCTACGTAGGCGACAGGACTATTTTCGTCATATGCCCAGAGAAAAATATGTAAAATTTATGAAGTACAATAAGAGAATTTGTGAAAGATTATAAGATCTACGTCTCAAGTCCATCTTCCTGGCTGGTGCTCTATTATGAAAAGAGGGATCAACATGTATGTCTCAAAAGCAATGAAAAGATTCTATTCTGATGCTGGGATGATTATATTTCAGCTGCCTCCAATTGACTGCGGAAAATAAAACATCTAATACACAAAAGATCCAATAAGATGGGCTTGTTGAGATAGTTTGGAGAATAATCAAGTTACATGGTTCCATTCACAAACTTAAAAGCACAAGATGAATTCAATTTAAGGGAGCATGGTTATAGGTTGTTAGATGACTGATGTCCATTGCTGGCTCTACTTATGGCGATCTAGGTTTCACAGAAGCAGAGGGTAATTACCTTAACTACAGTCTCTACAAGATTTACAAGTGCAATTGGCAACTTGATCCAAATTCCCTTCTTCCCCTGAAAAGATAAAACAAAAGATAATACCACTAACTAAACTAGCCACCAACACAACATATTCAGAAAAGAAAAGAAAATATTAAATATGAAATGAGAAACAAAGAGTATCACTATTGTATAACTAAACAGTTTGAGACTTAAGTGAAATAAAAATCCTTTCTCCAGGCTTTACTCAAACGTTAGTAAATCAACTTGCCTTGTTTCAATCAGATGTTAGTTGCAGGAAGTATTAATGTGCGATTATGCACCATATATACAGTCAACCAACAAATTTAGTTTTCCATGACTGAAATTAAAAGGAACAAGAAATTCTGGAGGAAGATCTGTTAAAATAAACACCTGCTGCCTCCACAACGATAATGAAGCTCTGAGCTTGGCATGAAACATATCCGGATCCATAGGCTCCTTCATTTCCACAATGACACCACCATGATCATCATCAGATGCGGGAAGTAATTCAGCATGATGAACACCACTTGCATACAAATCCACTGGCGGTGTCGAATTTACTGAAACCGTCATGGATCCAACCATAGCTGAAATCACAAAATGTAAATAACTGATTTTGTACACAACGACAGCTATATTTCATATCCCAGTTCTGCTAAATGACAAGAATGCTATCATAAACACAACCAACACATATGATGCTTGAACGCCAAAATGATCACCAAAATTCATACAAATGAATGATAATGGTAGCTATTTATTAGCTTTAGTTACGAATCAAATGAAAATACTACATATTTTTCTAATTGTAAGCAAATTAAACAACTGCCTATATGTCTATCTGGCTCCAAACTAATTTCAACCTTAGTTCTGTCCAATCCAACCAAAATATAAATTTAGCTCCATAAAAGAAGTTGTATATATATATAAAGATAATAACTTGTTTCACGTTCACCTAACTAGCATACCAAAACAAAAGAGTATATTTGAAGCAGAGCTTGAGAAACCAAAGCAGCAAAAGAATGCAAAAGAGACACCTCATCAATAATTGAGCAGGTTATGCTGGTTCTAGTGCGGGTGCTAGTGCTACATTTTCAGAATAGGTGCGATTGCTATTTATCTTGTGAAAGGGTCTTGGATTAGATTCGGGGGAAACCATTCTGCGACCATATACTTGATGACGTATTTCCACTCACTTCAGTGACCAATGGGATTCTGCTTTGCGTCATGTGGGATCCGATTAAACTAGCCGCCCTCTTCAGTTGCATTCGTGGCGCATGCATGAGGACTGTGGCCGGGTGGCCCTTCTAAGGGCATAGGTTTATGGCCACAGGTCTGGAATGGGGTTTAATTTTACAGATAAATATCAAATCAACGAGTAAATTACACATGACAAAAACACCTCCTTAGCAAGGGCCTCCAACGGTGTCGGAACAAAATTTTCAAATTGAAATTTCGTATTTTCTACGCCTACTTCAAGATATATGCTATACTTCAGTTTTAATAAAATACTAGTAGTATGTGTATTTATTTGTTTTCAGCATCATTCAATCATTAATAAAAAATACTTAGTGTATTTTTGTCACAATGGCATGGAGTTATGGATTTTAAGGGTTGTTTCAGCCTTAGCTCTTTTGTGCGTTTTAGCATATTTTGGTTTATTATATTCTAATTTTTATCTTTTCTAATTGTTTCAATCACATTAGAGCAGAGATTTTCCTTATGAAAAATCACTTTGTGCAAAGAAGGAGATGGCTAAATTACGTGAAAGTCCAATCTCTAATGACACGAGAATCAAACATACTTTTAATCTTTTAATAGAGAACAACCGATCAAGGAAAACGTTCTCTAGTGAGGCGGTCATGAAGGAAACCCCCTAACATCGAACATCCTTCATTGTTAAAGGTTTCCCTATGGGGGAAGTGCCTTCAATCCAACCTCCTTCACCTAGCTCTTCTCTCCCTCTATCTCGCATTTCGTTTCGACTCCTACAACTACCGAACCAAAACTACAAATGAATTAAAACCCTACTCTCCTTATGCACTCGTCATACTAAATGATCCTTCTACTCGGTGTTCCTTCCACCCTATCACTATTACACCTAAACCCACATCTTCTTTTAAAGGAGAACCAGCAGTAGAATTCTCCATTGTAGATCCGTAGCAGTCGACTAAGATCTTTGAATTCTTATTGATAACTAAATTTCCTAAATGACATCCTCCTATTAACACCATCAAATCGCATATTCAACAACATCGTGGCTTTGTCCGAGACTCCTATGGTAGGCTTGATTGATCCGAGGCATGTTTTAATTAGGTTATTCTCTAGAGATGTTTTCATCAAAGCTCGGTCCCAAGACTCCCATTTGATTGAAAACTCTCTTTTCGTTTATTTAAATGGGATGAAGCTTTTGGCATATGGCTTGAATCAACTAAGGTTGTAATATGGGTGAGGCTTCCATGCCTCCCTCTCTTCTTCTTCCCATTAGCATTCTTACAAGAGATTGTTAGGCCATTTGGAAAATTTATACATCCCGATGAATGGATAGTGAATGGTTCACACACTATGCATGCTAGTGGTCTTTGTGGAAGTGGATTTGACGACTTTTAGTCCTTCAAGAGTGTGGATTTTAGTTGGTCTAGATAAATCTAAAGGTTTTTGGCAACCTATTCAAGTATAATCCAAAGTATCTTTCTATAATTACCGTCACTTATAAGGTCATTCAAAAAATAACTATCACAAGCTCTCTCAACATGCTCAAGCCCCAGCTTAGAAAGCTCTCCTATATATATATATATATATAAAACCAAAGTAGTAAATACAGAGAAGTCATCCAAGGAGTAGGTCCGGCAAACTATGTAGAAAAAGGCCAGGATGCAAAAGGCTCATTCTACCCCAATATCGTTATAAAGAAAGAACCACCTTATGCTAAATAGTGATGGAACAACCTCGAACCTTTTAAAAGGAAAAGAGGTACTAGTCTTTCAATCGCTTATGAATTCCCTCGATAAAAAATTGATGAAAATCCAGGAGCAGACCTCTTATTCTAAAAGGAAAAACATGGCCACTCAAGTAGAGAATGATCGAGTGCACCCAGAAGCTATTGCATAAATTATAGAATAGGCTAGTAGTCGATTGAATACATGCAATAATGAAGAAAATATTGCTCGATCCTTATTAGACAATATTACCATAATAGAAGCAGATATACGACCTATCACATATATGATATAGGAGTTTACAACTCTAAAAAACTTTAATTCTCCGAACACATTGATGCATTATAGCATAGATGTCGGGGCTCGATTGATCACGTCGAGGCCGAGCTCTATCCTTATACTCGTTTCAAAAGGATTAGTGGATAAATAATCTTGGGTGGATTCAAAGTTTAAAGACAGATTGGAGCATATGGAGAAATAAGGTAAAGTGATGATTAAAAAATAAATAAAAAATGCTTAAGAGTATGGTTTAACATTGTGAAAGATGTGTTAATAGATCTAAAGAGGATCATAATGGAGAACCATTTTTCTCTTTATCTTATGAATAGCTTGATATGGAATTTAAAAGGTATTTGTGTCCTAGAAAAAAAGAGATACCCGAGACATCCGATTAGGCAACATTAGATTACTCTTCTTATTATATTAGAGCCTAAGTAGTTGGGTGATAAGCTACCTAAATTTGCTAGGCCCCTTCGTTTTCCGGTTTTTTACATGGAAACCTTACCAAAAACACATCCGGATTATTTGAAAAGACATACTTATAGTGGATTTACATTTTGTATGATTGTAATCCCTCATAGTTTGTATTAGGGATTCAATGATTAATAAAGAGCTTCTATTGATTTTAGTATATACCAATTATGATAGGATAGATAGAAGGAGTATATGGGATAATATACACTCTCTTAGTGTCTCTTTACCATGGATCATAAGAGGTGATTTTTACTCTATAGCAGATATCTCTTAAAGGGCTAGGGTTTACGATTAGGGTTGGGGTCTATCTTCGATTTTAATTATGGCATCCAACTACTAGAGGTGAAAGATATTGGGTACATTAAAAGCAAATTTACATGGTGTAATAATCAAGAGAGAGGGCTCGTATATGGAAAAGGGTAGAAAGGGTGTTATTTAATGTTATATTCTTATCTACTATTTCAAGATTAACTTGGTTATATTTAGCTCACTAATACTTTGATCATTGTCTTTTGCTATTGTCTTTTACTCGTGGAATCCCCTAAGCCTATGAGATTCTCTTTTAAAAAAATATGGACATCCCATGATAACTTTTTTACGTTTGTTCACAACAAATGGAATACAAATTTCGATCGATTCTTTTTTTCAATCTATAGCATAAACTCAAACCTTTGAAGAGGAGTTAAAGTCTTAAAATTGGCATGTGTTTGGAGATATTAATCTATAAATTAATTAAGCTAAGGATGAGGTCATTCAAGTAGAAGCTACGTTGTAGAACTGTAGAGTTTTGAAAATTTTACAAAATCATTGACGACTAAAGAGAATCTAACTAGGCTAGTGAACAAGATGAACAATTGATACAAGAGAAACCCAAAATCAAATGGCTAGAAACAAGGGATCATAACACTCGTTTTCTTTCATGCCAAGTCCATATTTGCTTTAGCTTTAGATGATGAACAATATGTACCGATAATACTCTTTTTATAAATTTTATTATAGATTATTTTTAGAAAATTTTCATGAGTGAACCCAATATAATGGATGACACCTTTTTAAATATTGTGCCTTCTCTGGTTACAAACTCTCAAAATGATGAATTGAGGGTTATTCCTTAACATGAGAAGATTAAATCAATAGTTTTTGAGTTAAATGAGCTTAGTGCTTCTAGGTCCGGACGATTTCATAGGAGCCTTCTTCAAGGCTTGCTGGGATATTATTTATAAGGATATGGTCTTGGCAATTTAGGATGCTTTAAGAGGAGGAGAGATTTTAAAGGGAGTTACTGCTACTTCTATAGTGTTAATCCCTAAATGTCCATAACCTACCAACTTTTCAAACTTGCTACCAATTAGTTTGTATAATTTTACTTATCAAATTTTATCTTGTATCCTTACAAACAGATCGAGTGTGGTATTGTCAAATCCGATTTCAAAGGAATAGTCAAGTTTTATGAAAGGGAGGCTTATTTATGAGTGTGTTACTCTAACTTAGGAGTTGTTTAATGATATCAATAGAAAAATCCATGGGGTAATGTGATCTTTAAGGTAAATATATCTAAAGCTTACAACATATTGGAGTGGCATTTTCTTCTCAAAGTGATGTGGTAATTTAGATTCTTTAAGGTAAATATATCTAAACCTTATAAACGATCGACTTGATTAAAAAATACTTGTGTTGTTAGTATAGGTGCCCAAGATCCGATTTTTTTTGGATGATCCGATTTATTATAATGTTGTATTTTTATTTATTAATAAAATAAGTGTTTTATTAATTCTTGTTGTTTACAATTTGATAGAATGAGATAGAGTCCATATGATATGCATTGCATTAATTATTAATCGAAAGATGTAAGATAAATATTAATATACTTAAATGGCATTGTTAAATATCCCA